GTCATTTCCTTCCCATTTTACCCATTCCTAGACGTAGACATGCATTGGGCACATTGTGAAATCTTCCTGGCGGCCATCATCTTACTAATCTCTACTACCCTAGAGATTCGCGCAGAAATCTGACTCCTGTGATTCGAGGCTTTTCTCTTCTCTCCACCTCGCCCCCGTAAACCTCTCTCTGCCGCTCCCCAGACCAGGCTCTGCTGGTCTCAGATCAGTTTGTGGTGTCCTTCGACGGCCGTCTGTACGAGCTGCCCCCTCGCTGCGCGCTGCTGGTTGCCCGTGATGCGGCTGGTGGCTCCTTCACTGTGTTGCTGAGCCCAAATGGAGTGACACAGCGCAGTCTTCTAGTGGAAATGAGCAATGTCACTGTCAGCATTCCGTCCGGTGGACAGGTAACTCTCACAGGCCAATCAATGAATGTGCCTTTCTTTCCAAATTTTAAATGAATGATCCCTGGTACAATAAATAGCTACTTCTGATATTTTGTAACCCTAATGGATTTAGGTATATTACTGTACATCAGAAGAGAGAGATTAATTTATCCTTCATAGGTGCATACCAACTGCCGCGTGACAGACAAATCGATCACAGACAATGGCGTGACAGTCAGAAGAGACTCCAACCTTGTTGAAGTATCCAATCAGGATGGAGCAGTGGTGTCATGTGACCAGTCACATGGTGTTTGCAGTTTGACTCTCGACAGCTGGCACCATGGTAAAACTTACGTCAGCCGTGGAACTGGAATTCTGATCTCTGGCTCTCTGTTACTCTGCCATACCGTTTATGGGAACACCAAAGTGGTTTGCCACATCGCAGCTATGCGAAAGAAATGCTAATATTGTGTGTTTCCAGAGCAGGTCTGTTGCTTCTGGAATTGCTGGGTGCTACATGTTTATGTTCATACAGGGGCTTCTGTGGGTCTCCTGGGGACCAATGACAACGAAGCAGGAAATGACCTCACGCTTCCTGATGGATCTCAAGCAGACAGTGAGGAGCAGTTCATCCAGAGCTGGCAGGTAGGGTACGGAACAGGTGTGACCAGCGGTGGTGTTTATCATGACTAAAATATTGCGAATATCTGCACTGTATATTTTAGATTATATACTTGGTTCCTTACTTAGTATTTATATATTGTAATTTCTCTTTTTTACTCCGACTTTACTTCTTACCTTTTTCTATTTTTATTTCTTTCTATTTTTACACAGCCACATAAGGGTGACACAGAGATACATTCCACTGCATGTTGTATGTATGTGACAAATAAATCTTGACTCTTGACTTGAAACCACACATTTGCATGGCGCCCCCTGTTGGCCACCACAGTAAATATTAAATAACCACGTTCCATATTTAGGAGATACTGCAGGGGGCCCTTAAGTGACTTTCTGAGAAACAACAAACTCCCCCCGGCTGTAACATGACGTGTGTATGTGCGGTTTGCCTGCAGGTGCGCCCTCAGTGTCGCAGTGACCCTGGGAAGGTGGGGTCCTGCTCCAACACCACCAATGCTAAGCTGGCCCCCAGCCCCCCAGGCTGTGCCTCACTGTTCTCAGCCTCTGACTCCCCCCTAAATGCCTGCTTCAAGGTGGTACGTCCCACTGCATCACACCTTAAAGAAACAGTTCATCCCAAAACTGAAAAAGATATGGTTCAGGGGGGGGTTTCTCCATCTAGATTGTTCTGCTGGAAGTTTTCTAGTTTTGTGGATTTTGGGCTTAGAAATGTGGGGCTTCACTCGAATATGATGGGAGTGAATGGCATTCTTTCTGTGGTGGTTAAGGCACCAGAAAAATACATTTGAATAATTCAACAGCAATGCCTCTTGCCAGAAATCACGGCCCAGTTACTCAAGATAATCCGCAGACTTTTTAGTGAGCAGTTCAATGTAGGAACTATTTCCTTCTACCAGACTCCTCACACCAATCGTATCACTGCGCAGACGATACAAGACGATCTTCCGCCCCTTTCAGTTTGGGGGTGAACTGCCCCTTTAAGCAGCACCTGTTTCTCTCTGCGCAATATTATAGAACCAATCAGGCCCATAATTCAATCATTAAACACAATTGTAGTTGGTTAACTATAAGCTCTTCTTAGGGCGGCACTGTGGCCCAGTTTGCGTTCAGCCCCTGCCTCCATTTGCATGCAGCTTGTCTGTTTTCGAAGGGTATTCCAGTTCCTTGTTAACTCTTCTTACTCTCTGCTCAGGTGGATCCGCTGCAGTTCCTGGCTGTGTGCGACAGGAGCCGCTGTAACCAGGACAGGGCCCCCTGCAGGCTGGCAGCTGCATTTGTCCATCTCTGCCGCCGTAACTACGTGCCTTTGGAGCTTCCAGAGGAATGCGGTCAGTACTTCCCTTTTCATATCTTTACAGCTGAAAGGGCCGCTGTGTATGCTGGTTTTCACTGCAGCTCCCTAATTAGATTACTAATTAGAGGACTGATTGGCTGAAGAGTCCTCACACCTGGATTTGAACAGCTGACCTACAGGTTATCCCAAAAACCTGCACACACACCGGCCCTTTGCGGGTGAGACTGCCCACCCCTGCTTTACATCGACTACTTATCCTTGAGGGGAAATGATTTGACAAACAAATATACATACTACAGTATATGTAAATGTATATGAAAACTCTTTATTAATCCATCATGAATGCATAACTGATTATTAATAGGAGGTATTAAGAAACACTAGTTCTCAAATCCCAATAGAACACATTCCACTAATCTCTACAAGAGAAAGGTTTGTTCAGGGGCTCGGGGTCTGATAAAGGCCAATCAGCTTCAACTGTCGCTGAACTGAACTGTCGTTCCCTTGTTCCCAGTGAATACATAAGTGGGTGGAGTCACCAGAGGTGGTGACACATAAGCAACCTGACGGTGAACCCCGGCCAGAATGCCTGCGCGGTGTGAGCATGCTGACCCCAGATCAGCCGCTAAAGTCACACACCGACACACAACAGGGGACTGCCACAGGACTACAGAGAAATTTATATGCAAGCATGTGTATCTGTGCCTCTTGAAAAAACAGGCTTATATGTCTATGTGAAATCGTCTTATGACTCGCCTTAGAAGTTTGTCAATCAGTGTATATGATATGTGTATATCTTCCCATTCAAACTGTAAGCCTGTGCCTGTAAATGATTTATAAAACCAAGTTAAACCCTTAAATTTAGCTTTTCTAATATATTTTGCTGATCAGACGATCCTTTAAACGAACGGCTATGAAATATTTTAACGTGTCACGTTAACTAAAAAAAAAATCATCGTAATGTTTGAATTTTTCTCTTATACTTTTGTGAAGCCTTTTTGTTAAAAATGAAAATGTTACTGATTCTGATTTTACATACGCTGGTGTGACTTTTATACTGATATGCACATATTCTGGAAGAAATAGCAACGTCAGCTTGCCAAGCAATGTCTTTTTGGGTCGTGTGAGGAAACCGAACATGTCATCACATGCAATTTAGACAAACATCTTTAGACCATCTTCATATGAGGTCGATGCAGATATAATTTTCCTAAGCCTCCAACAGTGTGAAATCACAGAGCTCATCGCTCACCCACAGCGATGGGGTGGACATGGCACTTGTGGTTGATGCAGAATCTCCAGATCCCCTTACTGGCCAAGCTGCCAGACTAGCGGTAGTGCATCCAGAAGTCAGTCGCCCCCACCAGCAAGACCAAACAGCGTTGAGGAGCAGTCTGGGATAGCACAGTCCTATTTGATGGGGTGCAGCTGTCAAAGAATGTAAGAGACACAATGAAGAACTGGAATGTAAAACAAAATGCTAATGTTAAAAGCTATGTTTCCTTTACCTGAATAAGCAGTTTGTTTCATTTTTAATCTGCAAATGTATGTTTTGTATTTCTTTACATTTGCTTATTGATCAATAAAATTCTGACCATTATAAATGAACCACTTGGGAAGTAACAGATTTTCGGACTGGAAGGTGAAGGTTTGGCGAAGAAACACTTTTCAAATAGTCTATTATGGAAGCGTATTACTGCCACGACATAAAAAAAATATATTGTCACTATCACGTTATATTGTGAAAATATTACATTATAACGTGAAAACAATACGTTAAAACGAGAAATCGTATCGCGTGATAACGTGAAAATATCACGTTAAAACGTGAAACAGTATCACGTTATAACATGTACACCTATCCCGATAGGATTAAAAGTTAAATTGATCAGGGGCGGTGTTATGCATCCCCTTTGATTTTGCATTTCTGCAGCTCCCATCATCAAGTACATATATAGAAATATATCCCCTCACCGACTTCATTACATTTGCACCGACCCCAGCATGAAGCACATCTTCTTAATACAATTATTTGGAGGCAAGTGTCATCTGAGCTCCGTGGTGCAACACTATTTACACTATTTTAACCATATATATGTACATATATATATATACATATACATATATATATACATACATACATATATACATACACATATATACATACATACATATACATATATATACATACATATACACATATACATATACACATATACATATACATATATACATATACATATATACATATACATATATACATACATATATATACATATACATACATATATGACTGAGCTGGACATATACATATATATATATATATATACAAACACACACACACGCTATTTTAGCCTTAGATTTGAACGAGACCTAGACGTTTTAAAAAGATTGACATTTATTTTTCTCGTGAAAATAAGTGTTACCGTGCATCTGATTCACACTTAGAATGTAACAAGCGTTTTATCGCTGCTGTTTTGAACTTTTCAATCGATATTAACAGGCGTTTCACAACCTATAAGTAACAACCCGTTTTCATCGTGTGCATCGTGGCCTTCCGCCAGATCCCCTCATTGTTCTCACTACAAAAGGGGGAACGATCGAGCACAACATGTGAAGGATGTTAATCCACTCTTTTTCCCTGTTGATATCCCACCCATACATTCCTCTCCTCCATCCTATAGTGATGAGGTTCCACCGTCGCCTGCCTTTTGTCCTCCGATGCTGTTGGTGGCAGTAATGCGCTCAGTCGGACTCTTATACCCTCATAAATGAAAGGGATGAGGAAGGTGGTAAACAGATCATGGCGGTGCTGTTCAGTATAAAGAAGGTAATTAATCGCATTCTAAATTTCGGTTTTTGAAAATGGAGAAATGTTGCTTATACTTGAAATCAGCTTGATGGTGTGCAGATAAAGAAGAAGTTGGAAACCGAGATTCATAAGTAGGCTACTTAGTCTAGGCATGTGCCCCGCTATTTATAAATTTTAAAGCCTTAAAGTGCTTCAACATGGTGTTTAGCGTTGTCAGTCATTAAAGTCATTTTAAGAACTGGAAGGTGTTGCCCTACACACATCTTTTTTTATCTACAAGTATTAGTTTGAAAAAATTGCTCGATAAGATAGATATGTAGTTTTGGTGACGCTTTATGCGTCTGTTGGCAACTATGGTTACGGTATTGAGTTTTTTTTAGTTGACGATGGGCTAACATTTAGTTTCTAACAGCATTTTCTCCTTTCCCTTCAGATGGCTTGTGCGGCTAATTTTGTAGCATGAAGTGGGACAGTGTGTTCTTACCCGTTCGGCCATGATCACCTTCACTCGGGCGCAGGAGCCGTATGCCGCGTGGCCCGCGGGCGACACTGTGAAGGAGCCGGCGGACAAGGGGCATGCACTAACCGGGGAAGAGGCTAAACGTTTTTACCAGAGCCTGATAGAGGAAGGCGGGGATGGGGAGACCGGAAGCAGCGGCACGGGAAACGCGCCCGCGAGGAGAGCGAGAAGACGGCGTCCGCAAGCCGCCGCTCCCTCCGAGAGGGATGGACACCGGCTGCTGAGATGCGCCCAGGAGGGGGACCTGGCGGGGCTCAGGGAGCTGCTAGGAAAGAAGGGCTGCAATGTCAACTTCTGCGATGCCTATTACTGGACCGCCATCATGTGCGCCAGCTATGCTGGGCGCCTAGACGCAGTGAGGTACCTCCTCCATAAGGGGGCGGCCTGGGTGGGCGTGGTGGACATCCAGGGCCGGGATGCCCGGGATCTGGCCGATCAGGCTGGGCACACAGAGGTGGTGTGGGAGCTGGACACGTTTCGGGCCCAGGAAGACAGGCAGAGGACAGACAGGTCAGTCACAGGCGTAAAACATGGGGAATTTGTTAATATTGTTTTTAACATAAGACTGTATAACATAACTCCGACTTGGGAATCCCTAGTTTAATGGATGGGTGGGTGCATGAATTCAGTTGGTGTCCAAGCAGTGCAGCTCATTGGTTAATGAGTGTGGGTGGGTGTGTCTTTGCCTGTCTGCAGTGCCCCGCCCCCAGAGCCCCGCTGGTGCTCAGACTGTGGTACCCAGTACAGCGAGAGCGAGGACCGGCATTGCAGCTCCACCCTGCACCAGTTCAGCCTGCGCCGGCCACCCCCCACGCCCCACTACTGTCTGCCTCCCACCAACGCCGGCTTTCGCATGATGCTCCGGGAGGGATGGGAGCCGGGGGCCGGACTGGGGCCCGGGGGGACAGGCCCCAAGCGGCCCATCCGCACCGTGCTGAAGAGGGACCAGGCAGGCCTGGGGTATGGCCCGAGCCCTCGGGCCAGGGTGACACATTTCGAGGCTGGGGACACGCGGGCTGTGCAGCAGGCCCCTGGCAGGGGGCGCACTGAGCGAGGGACCACACTGAGCCGCAGGGCCGAGAGGAAGAAAAAGGAGAAAGACAAGAACTGGGAGAGAGACTTCAGAACTTACTGTAACCTTTGACCTCTGTCTTTTGCTAATGCAAGACCGTGTCTCAGTAGTACTGGTGTGTTTTTATTTACCTTATGTAAGGTGCTCTACTAGAGGTGTGGGCCATGTTTAACCCATACTGCATTTGTACTTTAGAGCGTTTGTACTTTAGAGCAGAAGTTCAGATTTCTCAATGTGACTTTCTGAAGTGGTTGCATGCCCTGATTTTTTCTTGACTGCGCAAAGAATTTATCATGGCAGATATTTTTGTCTGTTTTTATATTGCATTTGAACATACAGCAGTCTGGTTTATGGCAATGTTTGCAGAAACACCTAACGGCATAAACACAGAGAGGATCATGTGTATTAGTCCAAGTACTCCAGTGGTGTAATTAAGCACTTGCACAGAATGGAAATTTCAGGGGCTCATTCTGAGTAAAACTAACACTGGTTACCAATATTGATGCTAATTAATAACATGAAGTTGCTAATTTGTACTGACCAATTTTAAAATCACTTCCGCACCAGAGAACACATACAGTGTTTCTGTCATTTACAGAGAGACATATCACGTTTCACTCCAAATGCGCTTTATTTGCATTGCTTTACAGCTAAAGTACAGATAAATTGTTAAAAATATGAGGTATGTTTGTTATCATGCAATTACAAATTTCTGGGGAAAAAATAAGTATTTCAGGTCCAGGGACAATCCATAGTGTTTAAACCACAATTTCATATCTCTCAAACGCCTGGCAGATTTAATCTTTTTTGACTTGTCAGTGCATTAATCTAATGATGCAAAATTCATTTTACAAAAAAAAAAAATCACTTCTCTGAAGCATGATGCTGTTTCTTTTCTATGAAGCTTTTTTGTATTTGATTCCTTATGATTAACAAGGTAGAAGTGGAACTATAATTGGTAATTGGTTTTATTAATATATGTACAGTTCACACACCGATGAGATGGTCACCTCACCGCTCCCTGAGAGACTCTCCTATATTGCAGTTTAAAATGTAATATTAAAAGTATGATCACACATCTGAATGTGCAACACTAAAATTTACTCACTGAATGAGCACTGTGGTCTCAGTCTCTCAGCTGCAACTGTGAGCCCAGGTCCTTCACCAATACGCCACCTTCTGGCTGGAAGGGAGCAATACACCACCTTCTGGCCGGAGATTCCCCCATTTTAAACATATTTCTCCTTTTGTAGATTTCAGATTGACTTCTTGGATTTAACGGCAGCATAAAGCAGTGTTTCTCAAACTGGTCTTCGAGGTGGATTCCAGTGTGGCTGGCTGGCAGGGAGCAAAAACGTGAAGCGTCTGTGGGTCCCTGAGGACCGGATTGAGAGAGACTGCCTTGGAAAAATGCTGGGATCAGCCGGGCCAGCGGGGTGGGTGGGGCATGGGCCAGCGGGGTGGGTGGGGCATGGGCCAGCGGGGTGGGTGGGGCATGGGCCAGGGGGCGTGTCAGGAAGGCCTGCTTCGTGAGCGGGTGTTGATGAGCCCTAGCATGGAGAGGGTACTGGCAGCGGCTGTCACCAAGGTGATTGCGCCGATCGCTCGTGAAGCCTGGCGAAATCAAAAACATGCGCTTACACACTGGGGCATCAGCTGTTTGATACAGGGAAGAAAGTGGCAGACAATAGCAATTACCTGCTCAGACACTCCCTCCCCATAGCGAAGTAAAGTAACAAAGTGCTCGCAGTTACTGCCCAGCAGGTCATATGACACCACCCGGCCAATGAGCATCTGAGCTCGGTCAATGATCTCAGTAATGGGCAAAGGGGTGTGGTTGTCATCATACTTGTTGTTCACGCGGTACGAGTCACTCCCTATGACCTCCTTCAGCAGCTGCATGCGGACAACAGCCTTGCGGCTAAACACGGACTTGACGCTGGACATGGCCGCCGCCTGGCTCTCGTCTGAAGAGAATATCGAGCGCTTTAGGCTGAAATACATGCTGGGACAGCTCGTGGGAGTTTTGCTTATACAAAAATGTTGAGGGCAGAAAGACAAATGATTGGTTCAGAGAGATAACCAATCAGATTGTAGAGGAGGTGGGTCCAAGCTAGAGGTGGGACCAACCAATCAGATGTATTGGTCCCACTTCTAGTTGCTTGGACCCACCTCCTCTACAATCTGATTGGTCATCTCTCTGAACCAATCATTTTTTGTTCTGCCCTCAGAACATTTTTGTGTAAGTATAACTCCCATGAGCATTGGGACAGTGGACGTGAATGACAAAGCGCAAACAGCTCAATGGTACTGACCCACTGGTGTTAGGTTGATGATGTAACCATCACCTAGGTATAGAGCCCAGTGCTGATAGGCTGGTCTGAAGATCTCAATGAGGTCACCGGGCTGGGGGCTACCAGGGGGGTTTAAGGGGTCAAGGTCATTAGAGGCCATCTGAAGGAGATAGACAGCAAGAAATGAGTAGAAGCTGTTTACTGCAACATATTCCTGATTCTGTAGATTTGCATGAAATTCAGACATTTATTGATAACAAATAAGAAAACAATTTGAGTATTCTGAAGGGATCAGGTCTCTCTGTTGTTCCCTTGAATACACCCTTGCAAAGAACGAAGACCTGGGTAGAAAACAAAGTTGGTGCTTAATGACTGAACGCTCAAATTTGACAAATTTAACATCCTGGGTTTATTGCAGGGCAAACATTCCCATAGTGTTGCCAGAAGTGTATTTATATTCGTTGTACTTTCTGGGAATATTCTGGATGTTACAGTGGAAGGTGCTAATACTGACCCAGTGTACTTGGCTAAGGATTTGAATATAGGCAGCAAGTTTTGATCAGGAGAAAGTCAGAAGAGAATTGAGGTTTCGTCTGGCAGCCATGACATGACGCAAATTCACTCACTACGCATAAAAAATTGCTTGTTGGGGAGGGACTTAAGGAGTATTAAAGGGGGGGGGGGTGAAGAAGTATACTGGTTTTGTATCTGAGCTGCCTTTCAATGCCTGTGTATGCCTACACTGTATTACATCATTTTGCTTTTCATAATTTTGCCAAAACTATGTTTGTGACAGACTTTGCAATAGATTCCTTACAACAGTATAATAATGTTCCCAGGAACCTGAATCGACTTAATGCATAATGACATAGCTTGTCACAGGAAGGTCACAAAGTATGCATGCAGTCACTCAAACAAGCATATAAGGACAAGGCCTAACATAGAAAACGTCTAGTCTAAGTCTAGCAAGTTGGCAAACTTCCACTAAACAAGAGGAACGGCCTGTAATCGGTTCTTTAAACAACAATGCTGACGCGACATGAGAAACTTCTGCCAAGCTTATGTGGACAGCGACTGTCAGAAATCTCTGGACATACCGCAGCAAAACTGCTGGTCTTCCTTCCTGTCACACCGGGAGTGTGTATAAATAAATGGACAGTCCCACCACGTGCCAGTTTCACATTCCTGACCCTGCCTCTCAATCTTAAAGAGACCACAGTGTCACCAGCAGTCCCCGGAAACTCACACGCTGGCCCGGTCCAAAACAAGGACAGGAGAGAAAGCCAGTAGTCTACCATAGTGCATGAGGAGAGTATGGGTTCCTGGTGCAGACTGGACCTGAAAAAATACAGGATCCAGCAGGTCTTGGATCAGTTCAAGGTCCTCGAGGAGGACAACAATCCCATCCACATGATTATGACTCAGGATTAAGCTCAAATGGCAAAAGATTGAGGGGTTAAGCTGGGTCTCATGTGGCACATTATCGATTATAGATCACTGGAGATTCTGCCCAGGAAATGGCTGACAGTTAGCTGATCACAGCTTAGCAAATCATTTCCTGAACCTTTTTGCCACATCCCACATATTCAACGTATGGTTGCTGACATGAACGCCAGCCTGTATTAACATCAGTGCTAAATTTTTTTTTTAAATCATCTCCAACTTTGGTGGATAGAGGGATGCTTATTAAAGCTAGATTGGGCACCCAGAGTATTTATACTCTCACATGAGATCAAGGTATTCTGATCAAAGCTTGACAGTTTCACAGGACATAAATAACTTTTAAATGAATCCAAAACTCTTTCTTGACCACAAGCATAAAGAGGGAACTCACCTTGTCAATCAGTCCTTTTCACGTTTTTCCTTCTGTGGTCCAAATCATATGTCTGGTACCACATTCTGCGATGGCAATAAAACAGTAGAAGAGATGTGAGAAGCCACAACTTCTCTGCCTGTTATCTGTATCCCTTTCAGATGTAACAGGATACAGTTTTACATTTAACCAAAATACTCTCAGGAAAGAGAGTTTTTAAAGGGATTTAAAGTTTAAACCCTCACCGGACCTAAAATACTTGCCAATGATCATTTCTGCTGATTTTGACGCCTGGAACTCTGGTTGTTTTCTGTTAGATTAGAAAGGTGACTGGCTTTGCAGTGAATCATGGGAGCTTTTCTCTCAGTTTTGTTCCCCCCCCCCTTTAAACAGGGCAGCAGGAACAAACTTCTTGTGTTTGGGATACACAGTGCCAGAGAGTGCTGGAGTGCTCTGACACAATGCTTACAGACAATACAGATACACGCGTCTACAATAGCAGCCGCAGAATTCAGAGAGTGCCAGAGTAACAGCCACTTCCTGTATGACTGTTGTGAACTTTGGGAGCTACAGTATGTCTGTGTTAAAGTTCTGTAGCCTTAAACTCACTAGATAGCCTACCGAAATATAGAACTGCATTTCCCTGTGTAAGTTAACAACATAAGGAAGAGAATGATCGTTCTAATAATGGTTATCTTGAATAGACGTGAACTCCCGGTTGCATGAACTATGCAAAAACTACAAACTATTTCCTCCGGGATAATAAAAGTATTATGGTTGGAATGATATGGAAGCCCGTTTCCGCCACCCGGAGGAGAAAAAGAAAAACATTCATCTCAGAATTATGTCTTAAGAAGTCGGAATTCTGACTTTTTATCTCAGAACTCTGACATTTTATCTCAGAATTCTGAGATAAAAAGAGAGAATTACGAAATAAAAACTTAGAATTCTGAGACAAAAAGTCAGAATTCCGACCTCATAAGTCATATTTCAGGGTCTACAGTCTCTTCCGGGTGGCGGAAACGGGCTTCCATAGAAACGGGCTTCCATAGGATATTTGATAGGCCTACTACAGAACGGAACTCGTGGCAATAAGTGGAAATTACTGGGAGAACATTTTAAAACAGATTTGAGGAAGCACTTCTTTACACAGCGTGTAGTTAGAGTATGGAATAGTCTTCCAGGTAGTGTAGTGCAAGCAAAACCCTGGGTTCCTTTAAATCAGAGCTAGATAAGGTTTTAACAAATCTGAGCTACTAGTTAAATTCTCCCCAAACGAGCATGATGGGCCGAACGGCCTCCTCTCGTTTGTAAATTTCTTATGGTCTTATGTACAGGAGAGACGGCGATGAAAACAAGGGCGATTCCTAAAGCATGCCGATCTGAAAACAATGCCATTAGTGTATTTTAATAGAATATTATCATTATACGAATTATTATTATAGTGACATTTTGTGAATTGCCGGTTATTAAGTCGAATCTAATCTAACTTGAACAGATTTTACCTGAATGGCAGCTACGTATATGTAAGTCAGTGATAGACACAAAATGCTTCTTTCAATAACTTCTAAAACTAACTAAAGCATACAAATGGTACATCGAATAAGATGTAAATTCAAATAAGTAAAAGGAAAAGCATTAGGGCTGTCAAAGTTAAGGCATTAATGCGTTACCATCAATTTTAAAATCAATTTCTTAGATTGCGTTAACGCACCGTTGTGGGAGAATAGTATGAACAAAGATTTAGATTTATAGTATTCGTTCCTGGTGTTATCAGGTTGAAATTTCATGTATTCGCTCTTGGCGGTCTTTTTTTATCTAGAAGAAAAGGAAGAACAACAAGAAAAAAGAACAAAATAATAATTTCATGTATTCCCCCCTGGAAGAAGTAAAATTTTTCATTCTATCTAGAGTAGCAGCTCAAAACCAATAGAACGCGCGCGGCTTCACTTCTAGTAGGATCCCACGTGGAAAGAGGGGATGGCGTGTGTGTCATCGATCACGTGATCCTCAAAATACGATGGAACCAAGATGGTTTACTTTCCAGCGCTACAAAGTTTCCCTGCGTGCGTTTCTCTTGCTGACAGCGAAATTGATGACCATTGCGCACAGAAAGTAATACCCTGAATAGTGTTATTACCGCATTTTTAAATTTTTTATACTGATATTTTACAATTACTTGAACGTCTGGGAGTAGGGGGGGCAACGACCAGCGCGTCCGGGATATATGACGTAGAACTTTTATTTCTTTTCTTACTGATTTGTACAGATTCACCCACCACCATCTGCGCTGTGCAGTCAATTGCAACTATGTTCCGAGTAAATCTTTAGCAAGACCCCACGAAGAACAATACGCCAAACCAGTAACAGGGGCGCAATCGGTCGCAGTGCAGCGAAATTCCCGTTACGCTGGACGTAAACAGCGCGAGAGCATCGATCCTCACGCGCGAAATCCCAGAATTCACATCTGCGGCCTAAACATTCGCCGTCTTAAGAGGAGGCTGATGGAGGGGGAAAGCGAAGATGTGTTGTTACTTGGTTCATTTAGTTTTAAAAAAATGCCAGACGGCTCAAAGGATAAAAATATTGTAATATGCAATATTTGTGCCGCCGAATTCAAGTACCACAGGAGCACGACTTCGTTATCTTATCACTTGAGAGCGAAACATGCCCGTGCAGAAACGGATAAGCCGAGTGACTGCGCTGTTAAGGAAGAGGAAGGCAGGGAAATGTTGCCTGGTTCATTTAGCTTTAAAAGATCGCCAGATGGCTCTGATGATAAAGGTGTCGTTATTTGCAATCTCTGTGCTGCCGAATTTGAATACGGCCGGAATATTACTTCGTTAACCTGTCACTTGGAAACGAAACATGCCGGTGGAGAAGCGGACAGGTCGAAAGACGGTGCGATTAAGGAGGAAGGCGGGGATACCTTGTTGCTTGGCTCGTTTAGTTTTGCAGATTTCCCAGACTGCGCAGAAGATAAGAACATCGTAATTAGCGATATTTGTGCTGCCGAGTTGAAGTGCGACTGGAGCGCGCCGTCGTTATCCTGTCACTTGGAAACGGCGCGTGCCGCTGCAGGGACGGAGACTGACAGGCCGGGTGACGGTGTGCTTCGGGGGGAGAACAGCGAGGAAACACTGTTGCTCGGTTCATTTCGTTTTAAAAAGCTGCCGGACGGCTCAGACGATAAAGGTGTCGTGGTTTGCAATATTTGCGATGCCGAATTCAAGTACCGCAGAAGCACCACTTCGCTGTCATACCACTTAAAAGCAAGACACACCCCAGCAGAAACGGACAGCTCCCGCGGGAGGAGAGGCAAAGAAACAATACTTCGTGGCTCCTTCAGTTTTAAAAAATTACCAGATGGGTCAAAGGACAAAAGTATTGTAATATGCAATATTTGTGCAGCCGAATTTAAATACCACAGAAGCACAACGTCGTTATCCTATCATCTGAAAGCAAAACATGCTGGTGGAGAAGCGGATAGATCGAGTGGTAATGTACGGTGGGAGAGGAGAGGGAAAGAGAGACTGGTGCGCGTTTCGTATCATTTTAAAAGATTGCCTGATGGCACAGAGGACAAAAATATTGCAATCTGCAATATTTGTGCGGCCGAATTCAAATATCCTAGGAGCATCGCTTCATTGTACTATCACTTGAAAGTAAAACACGCTGGTGCAGAATCAGGCAGGTCGAGTGACAGTGCGTGGCAGGGTACGATTCATGAATACATGACAAGTCAGCCCGTGTCTTGTGCTAAAGCAGAAGCATTAGCGGATGCAATATCGAGATGGATCGCTTGTGACTGTAGACCCTTGAGCATTGTGGAGGATGAAGGCTTTCTTAATACAATTAGACTGGCCAGCTCCGACGTTACCTACACGTTGCCGTCACGTGAAACTATCGCTTCACGGATTGAGGATTTATACGCGAATCAAAAATCAAGCAAGTTGGAGCAGCTTAGGAATGCAAAAGCGGTGGCATTGACGGGTGATCGCTGGGCGTCAGTTACTAACCATGACTACCTCAGTGTATCGGCTCACTTTATAGACAGTTCGTGGGCGTTAAATTCATTTCCACTAGGAGTGATGCTCGTTGATGAGAGTTTTGCGGAAGGTTGTGCTAAAAAAATTTCTGACATCACATCGCAGTGGGAAATCACCGGGAAAATATCAACGGTAGGCAATATGGGGGCTTCGGCCGGTCTCATCCCCTACGAACACATGCCATGCATTGCGCACAGTATGCAGTGCTCCATCGTAACTGCTCTTCGTGACTGTGGCGTTCAGAGTGTGCTGGAAAAATGTAGGAAGTTGGTTGGACATTTCAAGCGGAGTCTGGCTAATGCCGCTGACCTAAGAAGGCAGCAGGGTGAGATGGGACAGCGAGAAGAGACGCTCGTTCCGGATGCGCCCGGGCGATGGAGCTCCACTCTGTCAATGATCACACAGCTGCTAAGAAACAAGAATGCGTTGCAAGCAACTACTGCCGCCCGAGAAAACGCTGCAGAAATGCTGACTGATGGTGAATTTGACAAAATTGAGGTGCTGAAAAAACTTCTTGAACCCTGCAAGTAAGTTCGAATTTCATAACCAATATTATTAATGCTGACAGTACCTTAAAAATCTAGTGAGTGTTTTTTCAGTTTGCATTTTAGGACTGTAATTGTGTTTTATACATTTAATTGCATTTCAGTTGCATATTGCAAACGTGACTTGCCATTTTTAGGTATCCCGTGCACATTTGAATTTTGTGCTTACATTGCAGGTATGTTGCAGATCTTCTTGGCGGAGAATGGTATGTGTCCTGTTCCGTGGTCTTGCCTGCCCTGTGTCATCTGCTCCACGTGATGAAGGTGTCAGATGATGATCCTTACTATGTAATCAGATTTAAGGGAAGCTTCACTGCTGACCTGTCAAGGACAAAAGACACCCTCAACTTACCCTGGCTGAAGGTAGCAACGGCACTTGACCCTCGATTCAAAGACTTGAAATGCTTACCAAGATCGGAGCGGGATGAGGTTTGGGTGAGCATACGGGAAAGACTGCAGAAGACAATTCTCCAGACACCACCACCTAAGAGGAAGCGATACCTCCTGGTTTATGGATCTGACTCCGAGGATGACGCGGACGAAGCCGCTGGCACATCTTTGGATCGTTACAGAGCGGAGCCCATCATTCAGATGGAGGACTGTCCATTGCAGTGGTGGGCAAAACATTCTGGGGCCTATGAAGATTTGTCACATCTTGCCCAAAAATACTTGGCGTCCCCTGCTTCAGCTGTCCCTAGCGAGACACTTTTCTCACTGTCAGGCCAAACTCTACAGGAGAAAAGAGCCGTACTGGATTCTGAAAGTGTTGACCGGTTTGTCTGTTTAAGCAACTGGCTCAGTGAAAAGAAATCACTTGTCAGCCTTATTTTTGGGAAGGTATGATTTGTCACACTTATAGGAAATTGGACTATCATTCAACTGTTAAACCTTTGGACAATTTTTTCAAATGTCACGATGGGCAGTTTCATCATAGTCCAACAAGAGTCTTGGTTAACTTAATGTCATTTAAATTGTGACACTATTTTCAGGTAAGAAATGGACCTTTTATGATTGCCAAATATGTTTTAGATATTTAGTCTGTTGGTGGACATTGTGGATTGAATTGTTTGTCATAGCTGTTTTTCACCCATGTAACATTTTTTTTGTTGTTTTAAAATTTCTGTACTGAATAAGTGGACTACAAAAACTTTTTTTTAGATCTTGCAACGATTGGATATACAATCAAGTGCCAAGGTATGCAATTAATTTTTAAAAACTGACAGCCCTAAAAAGTCCAGTGATGAGCAGCTGTCTGTTTCATGCCTCCATTTCCATGATCAAAAGAAGTTTCTACCACTAAGCTGAAATGATAAACTGCAAGAACATCCAAACTCCACACATGGAACCCAGGTCCCAGAGGTGTGAGGTAACAGTGCTAACCACTTCATGCAATCCTAACTGTAGGAGTCCAGCTGGCCATCAAAACTATGCTGAAACGTTCAAAGCAGGCTGAGTCTCTGGTACAGGTCCATTGCATTTTTGCCCTCAGATTTTACATGCCAGACCATCAGCTACTACTGTTACAGGAGTATTACCATAGCAACAAGTACCATGGAAAACAATTCAGCAGTGCGACGTAAAGTCCCACATTTAACCTATAAATAAAGTGTTTTTAAAATTGGTCCCCCCCAATCAACGTCAAACTGAACACTGCCAGAATTTCGAGCAGAATTATAGTGGAATCCAGCGCAGTCTATGAGGCCTCAGTCAAAAACCAGATCTTTGTGTGTGAAACTCAATAGCCCGTACTACGTAGTGACACTACAGTCTTGGTTAAAAGCATTTTATTGGTTACAATATCAATTCATAGCAACATACAGTATCACTGACCCACTGTACAAATACAAAATAAAAACTGGTGTGAAGACTTAAAAAAAAAAAAAATCATAGCAAGTGATTATAAACTGACAACAGCATTGTAAGAACTCATGGCACCAAGTCCCTGGATTTGACTGGCTCAAATATAAAAATAAATAAAAGGAAAGGAGGGGAAAAAAGAACAGAAAATATAAAAGCAAAAAAAAAAAGGATTATTACTAAAGGTCAAGTGTCAATGTGTTTTGTGAAGGAGAAAAAAGGAATTATGTAAAGCCAGAAATGGGACAAAATGTAAATCTTCCTTTCACTTGCCAGGCCTCCCCCCCCCCAAAAAAAATCACATGACATCTAAAATTTACTTGGACCACATTGCAGGATTATTGCTGCCTGGAGCTGAAGTTCTATGAGAGCATGTTAGTGTGCGTGTGTGCGTGCGTGTGTGTGTGTACAAAGAAATCAAAAGTGGAGAACACAGGAAAGTTAAAGAGAATAGGTGCCCCAGCTCCTAGCAAGACAAATTCAAATCAAAACCATTAATTCTCCTTAAAGCCTAACACTGTTGCATTTGACGCAGAACTCTTCAATGACAGACAGCCTGTTTCATTCAAAAAGCAAAAGCATCTTCTCATTGGAACTACTGCTTACCAAAAGCATTCCTTGCTCAGGGAGAACCTTTTAGTGGCACCAACAATATCATTATGTGGAGCTTGTTTGGCGTTTGTTGATTTAATATAGTTATGGTAAAATGCCCTCTTTCCATGTCTATATGGTCACTGCCCTCCAATTGCAAGTTACTTGCACAACCAGCCACAAATCAATAAAGCGAACGCAAACTGGCAGGTGTGGAACACCAAAATGGTCAATTGAAATGTCTGATGCATACGGGGTGGGGGGGTACAAAAGGAGAGGGAGAAGTGAGCAGCGCTGTGGCCAGGCACGTTATTCGGTTAGGCACCATGAGAGAGCCGGCAGGTAACCTTCACGCTACTCTTTCATCAGATATTGTGGCACTTTTCTAAGCTGAGACGAAAGGGACCCGGCAGTCTGCAATGCTGAGTCGCTGCTTAGGAATTCCAAAAGGACACTAGAGTCTTTTCTTTAAGAAAGGACACCATACTTTGAGAAAAACAGATACCACATCACAGAAAAAATAAAATACTTTCAGCACGGAACTGTCAAACGTGAGTCACTGACATCCTTTGTGGAATGCCATATTCTGCTTTCAGGAACATTCATTAGAAGCAGAATGGGCAATACAGCTAAAACTAATCTCAAGTGAATCACTATGACTGTAAAGACTTGTGTGTAATCAATAAATACAATAAATTCGTCCTGACTGCAGCGAACAATCCTAACGCAAGATACTAACATATCAAAATGGCCCAACACTTCTTTGCCACAAGCCAACTACTTCCGGGCAAATATGGTTCTTGTATAATCCTCTCACTCTCCATGTCTTTAGTGTTTGACAGTTCAATACCTCACCCCAGGTCAATCTGAATACACTTGTATCTTATATGGCACAATTAACACCATGACTCCCTAACACCAACATATACTGAGGACTTGCCGTTAATACAAAGGTAAGGGTTGTATTTGAGCAAGGGAAATCTCTTCTGGGGGGGGTGGGGGGCGATAGTTTACATGGCCTGTCAACTTTAATGGATCATGCAAAATACTTTGCAAAGACTGTTACCTGCAACTTCACAGATGGCCAGCAGAGGGCAGAGTTGTGCGAGGATCAGGTAGGCTACAGGCCTGAGGTGGTGAACTGAGCACACAGCAGATGGCGTGGGAACCTCATATTAAGGCAGAGTGTGGTTTCGAGCGATTACGTCACAAACTAGGCAGACGCAGACTCCGAAAGGCATGTACATTTAAGTGAGTCGGCACTGTCTGTAAACACACACAACGTATAGAGAGTGGCATTAACACTGCAGTACAAGTATACAGAGTACACATATATATGGTTTACCAAAGTCAAGGCTTGTGTATGTGTGAGTGTTCCGTGTAATGTGTGCATTTCTGCCCAAGTCCAGCAGCGACACCACTATTCTGGAATTCAGGCTGTTAAAGGCAATTAAGGCGGTGTCTCCAGCAAGGCCTTAGGACAGGAGCCTATGTCTGAAGTGAGGGTCCCCTGGTTAGCAACGCCTTCTCTGCTGCACCCGCCTGCTTCTACCAGAGGCGGCCTGCT